TTCCCCATATTTCTTGGGGTAATGCAGCGATTTCTAGTCATCTGGTGGATGGTTGGTTTCTTCCCAAACTTGGAAGTTCAATCTGAGAGTTGAGGAGTGTGCAGAAAAGGAAACAGAGAGAGGGATAACAATACCAACAAAGAGAAAAACTTTTAAATAAATCTAAAAATTTAATATTCAAAAAAATTCAGTAAAACTCAAAAATTAGAAAACCGAGCGGCGTGCTTCACAGGAGCCATGGAGCTGTCTGTCTCTTGAAGAAGGGCTGTTCTGTTCGCTTCTTCCTGTCCTAGGTAGGGCATGATTATTAACAAGATAAAGGGCTAGGAGGGGCCAAAGGGCCCTGTAAAATGCCTCACCTTAAAAAATTCTAAAAAGCAAAAATTAAAAAAGAGAGAGAGTGGACAGAGACAGAGGTAGAGAGAGACAAAGTCAGATACAGAGACAGGAGACTTGAAAGGGGTCTTCCTACCACGCGAGTTTTGTATGCTGGAGGCCCAGTTATCAGTGGGACATCTTCCTTTCTCCCAAAATGGCTAGATCGCAGGAGCCATGGAGCTGTCTGTCTCTTGAAGAAGGGCTGTTCTCTTGGCCTAATTCTGAACAAATTAAGACATAAGTAAATGAGGCTGGAAAGATAGGGAAAAACTAGAGGTCAACATGTCAGCCTCATGGGCTTTCGTACGTAATCAGGAGTGGAGGCGAACAGGGAGGCTGGGTGTGGTGGTACTGGGTGCTGAGAGTGGGAATTCAGGTGGGCGGGGAGTATTTGTTTAGCCTCACCCTCTGCAGCACAGCCCCTTCTGCCTCCCTTGGCCTCATCTTGGCCGTGCTGCATGACCTCCACCCTCTCACCACCAAGGCAGGCCACTGGTGACTATGGGGTGGCTGTGGCCCTTTCCCTGTCATTGCTCCACCGACGTGTCTCACTGTTTCCTTTCTGTGTGGCATCAGAACTCAGACCCTGAAGGCTTGCTTTCCCTGCCTTCCCTCACCTCCCAACACAGTCAGGCTTTGGGAAAGGTCCCTGACTTCTCTGCATTTGCAGTTCTTCCCTTTTGCTCACATTCAGTAATTTAAAACAGCTTACCATCTTGGTGTTTTCTCAGGACACAGTTGAGCTAGTTCCTCTGCTCTCGTGTAACAGGTTGTACTCAGGTCCCAGCCAGGCCATGCACTCCTCTGCTCAGGTGTAACAGGCTGTAGTCAGGTCTCAGCCAGGCCGTGCGCTCCTCTGCTCAGGTGTAACAGGCTGTAGTCAGGTCTCAGCCAGGCCGTGCGCTCCTCTGCTCAGGTGTAACAGGCTGTAGTCAGGTCTCAGCCAGGCCGTGCGCTCCTCTGCTCAGGTGTAACAGGCTGTAGTCAGGTCTCAGCCAGGCCGTGCGCTCCTCTGCTCAGGTGTAACAGGCTGTAGTCAGGTCTCAGCCAGGCCGTGCGCTCCTCTGCTCAGGTGTAACAGGCTGTAGTCAGGTCTCAGCCAGGCCGTGCGCTCCTCTGCTCAGGTGTAACAGGCTGTAGTCAGGTCTCAGCCAGGCCGTGCGCTCCTCTGCTCAGGTGTAACAGGCTGTAGTCAGGTCTCAGCCAGGCCGTGCGCTCCTCTGCTCAGGTGTAACAGGCTGTAGTCAGGTCTCAGCCAGGCCGTGCGCTCCTCTGCTCAGGTGTAACAGGCTGTAGTCAGGTCTCAGCCAGGCCGTGCGCTCCTCTGCTCAGGTGTAACAGGCTGTAGTCAGGTCTCAGCCAGGCCGTGCGCTCCTCTGCTCAGGTGTAACAGGCTGTAGTCAGGTCTCAGCCAGGCCGTGCGCTCCTCTGCTCAGGTGTAACAGGCTGTAGTCAGGTCTCAGCCAGGCCGTGCGCTCCTCTGCTCAGGTGTAACAGGCTGTAGTCAGGTCTCAGCCAGGCCGTGCGCTCCTCTGCTCAGGTGTAACAGGCTGTAGTCAGGTCTCAGCCAGGCCGTGCGCTCCTCTGCTCAGGTGTAACAGGCTGTAGTCAGGTCTCAGCCAGGCCGTGCGCTCCTCTGCTCAGGTGTAACAGGCTGTAGTCAGGTCTCAGCCAGGCCGTGCGCTCCTCTGCTCAGGTGTAACAGGCTGTAGTCAGGTCTCAGCCAGGCCGTGCGCTCCTCTGCTCAGGTGTAACAGGCTGTAGTCAGGTCTCAGCCAGGCCGTGCGCTCCTCTGCTCAGGTGTAACAGGCTGTAGTCAGGTCCCAGCCAGGCCGTGCTCTCCTCTGCTCAGGTGTAACAGACTGTAGTCAGGTCCCAGCCAGGCCATACTCTCCTGTGCTCAGGTGTAACAGGCTGTAGTCAGGTCTCAGCCAGGCCGTGCGCTCCTCTGCTCAGGTTTAACAGGCTGTAGTCAGGGCCCGGCCAGGCCATACTCTCCTGTGCTCAGGTGTAACAGGCTGTAGTCAGGTCCCGGCCGGGCCGTGCTCTCCTCTGCTCAGGTGTAACAGGCTGTAGTCAGGTCCCAGCCAGGCCGTGCTCTCCTCTGCTCAGGTGTAACATTCTTATAGTGAGTTCTCAGCCAGGCCATGCTCTCCTCTGTAGCTCGGGTCCTGGCCCAACGCTCATGCAGGCTGTTGTCAGAAGTCACTTCTTTTTGGGTACAGGGCTGATACTCTCAGCTGAGAGGCTTCCCTTTTCTATAGGCCGTTTATAATATGGCTGTTTGCTTCTTCAAAGCCAACAGGGGAGTTCTACTCCTTAGGCAAGGGCCCAATCCCTCTTTTAAGCACTCTCACCTGATGAAGCAAACCCACTGAGGATGGTCTCCCTTCTGATTAATGGAAAGTCAGCTGATTGGGGACCTTCTGTGCATCGTCAAAACTCCTGTACTTTTCCCACATACTGTCACCTAGTGACAGGAGGGACTATCCAACATAACCACATCTTTGCTCCTGGGGAGGAACTTCACATGACATGTACTCCGAGTGGGGAGTCTTGGGCTATTTGGGAATCTGCCTGCCCACAGGGAGTGAAGAACAGGTCCCTCCCAGGTCAAGAGATTACTGAGGTCACAGGGTGCCAATGCTTCAGGGGCTCGGTAGATGCAAGTTGCCTTTCTATCCTCACACTGGACCACATGACAGCATCCAAGTAACCATTTCTTCACACCTTACCATCCTCTCTGTTTACCCAAGGCATCTCAACATAGGCCTGATTGCTGGTATTTTTCTCTTTAATTAAGTTGAGAATGAAAGATGATAGAAATAATCTTGAGCCTAGCAGCACAATCCATTGATATTTGAGAGTTCCAATTTTTGCTGGCTATTTTCAAGCAGGTTGACTTGCAGATTTCCACTCCTTTGAATTTTCTGCTGTGAGATTTTTCTGTAAAATGTCAAGATAATAGGGGACTTGCTGACACTTCGCGACAGCACCATTTTCCGGGATTTAGTAGCCTTTTTGCTAGTTTGGGATCCTGTGTGTGTGTGCATGTGTGCACATGCATATGTATACATGTGTTCCATATGACTCTGCCTTTGTGCATCTGTGCACATGTGCATGCACATCATGTTGTATGCATGTGTGTACTATGCGTGTACACACATGTACTTCGTGGCTTATGTATGGGTGTGTGTACAATTGTACATGTTTGCATATACTCGTTCCATGTGTGACTAGGGGTACATGTGTGCATGCATGTAGAATGTGTGCACATGTTTGCACTGTGCACTGTGTACATTCATGCAGAGTATGTGTGTGCACGCACAGGTGTTCAGCATGTCAGTCTCTCACCCGCTGTCTCTTCTTTCCGCAGTCTGCTGTGGAGTGCAGCAACCTTCTGAGGACCCTCCATGGCCTGGAACTGGAGCACTTGAGGAGGTCTCTAGCTTTGCAACGAGAGGAAGATTTTGCCAAGGCTCACAGGCAGCTGGCTGTTTTCCAGAGAAACGAACTGCACAATATCTTCTTTACCCAGATAAGAAGTGCTATTTTCAAAGGAGAACTAAAACCAGAGGCGGCCAAAATGGTCCTACAAAATTATTCTGAAATACAGGTAATGCCTTAAATCAGGCTCGCTGTGATGGAAGAGCAATTTTCCTAAACGGTTTCAGTAAACGTGTCCACTCCCTGAGCTAAGTCCCATCTCTCCATGTGTGCTGCAGACCAGTGATCTAACTTTCTCTTCTTTCTACCTCTTGATGTGTGGGCAAGTTTCCATGAAGCAGGACAAACAGGAGATTGGAGCGCAAGCCTGGAACTCAGTTCTGTCACCCACTAGCTGTGTGAGCTTGCACATTTATCTAATTTCTCTGAGCCTCAGCTTTCTCACCTGTAGAATGGGTGTGGTAGAGTAGCCACACTCACTGGAGTGCAACAGAGTTTGAATGAGCGAGTTCATGAGAAGTCAGTTTTTGGCACAATTTATGTTTAATATGTACAGTGGCCCCCCCACACACACACCTGTACTTTCGGTTCCACAGCTTCAGTCACCTAGAGTCAAATGTAGTCCAAATATATTAAATGGAAAATTCAGAAATTAACAATTTAAGCACAAGTCTTAAATTGCACACTCTTCTGAGCAGCATGGTGACAACTTGTGTCATCTTGTTCCACTTGCCCAGGACATGAATCATCCCTTTGTCCAAACACGTCCCCCAGTGTATGCTTCCAGCCCTTTAGTCACTTAGTAGCCATACTTGAAAAATGGCGTACGTGGGGTTTGGTACTGTTCGCAGTTTCAGACATCCACTGGAGGTCTTAGAAAGTATCCCTACTGTATGGAAGTAAAAAAATAAACATATATGCATGTGGGGAGTGTGCGTGGGGTGGGGGTGTAACGATGTATACTTAGGGCTTAGGATCTGTGTCTATGTATACTTGGGTAAATTTGTATTTATTTCTGCTTATAAGCTTTAGTGTGAATGTTACTAATCCAGACTAAATGATTCCTAGTGAAAATAGTCTCTCCGAGACTCCATCTTGCTGTGGAATGTCCTATGAAGCCTGCACGAGGTACTGTGCATGGCATGCACACATTCACATACCCAGAGTCAAGTCACTGGTTTGAAAACATGGCTCCCATGTGTTCATGGGTGCTGCCAGCTTGCTCCTGGCGAGTGAGAATGATCATAAGGAAAAACTTCTCATTTTACCTTTCTAGAGTTTCCGTTTTGACTGTGAATATTTGAGAACTGCAGATGCCAACCGTTAGACACTGTATCTTCCAGTGTGTGAGTCAGTGTGTTCACAAAGCAGCAAAGCCATCTTTCGACGATGGTGACAAAATTGGGAGCACCATTTGGCAGGCTCAGGTCCAGAGGGGTTAATGATGTAATTTACTCCTTGGTTCATTTTACGAATGGACAACCGTGTTTTTGATGTAGTCTCTCTACTATTTCAATTTCATCTTTATAAGTGAAAAATCATCTCAGAAATTTGGCTTGCTAGTTAAGGTTTTGTCTGAAATTCTCTGTCAGACTCAAAGTGTCCATCCAGGCATGTGAGTGGCCTCTGATACCGTCAACACCTAAGCAGTGTGCAAAATGAAGCAGAAAAATGCGAGCAGTGGGCCCGCATGCCCCGCCTGTGTGTGTGAGCAGGTCCTCGGAGGGGAGGCCGTTTGACTCGGCTCTCCCTTTACTCAGTACCAGGTTTCTGGGCGTGGCACAGGCTGAGTGAGTGAGGACAGAGTTGGAGCAGGAGGAGACTTTCAGGGAGAGAGGGCCTCTGTCAGAATGACCCAGGACATGAAGGCAGCAAGCTGACCTCTCTGTTCTGGTCTAGATTTTCCTCACCAAAACCTTAATGAGAGTATAACAGTATGAACAGATTGTATTCACATGTGAGTTTTCAGACCCCATGGCTTTACTTAGACAGTAACAGGTTTTCTTGTCAGTTTACTAGTGTAAGCTAGGTAATTATTACCCTTGTGTTTGGCAGGGTTTTGTTCATGTCATAGAATGAGGAGAACTTCTAGCTGTTTTTTTGTGCCACGCCTGCCCATCTTGTCTCCTCTGTGAGTGTGGGAGCTCTGGGGGTCGGGGCCGATGGCTGTTTTATCTAAGAAGTCCTTATCCCGCTGCTCAGCACTTGTGGGGACTCCACAGGTGTGGTGTGTGCAGGGGTGAAAGATGAATATCAAGTAAGTGAAATCCACCTTTCCTTTCCTGAGTCAGTAAAGTAGGCCTGCTAACCCTTTACCCTCTGGGTCCAGAATGCACTTTCCAAAGCCCTCATTTTTCATTTGTACATCATTTTCTTATCATTCTTTGTTACAGGTAGGAAGCTAAAGGTTGTTAATCCTATGCTGCTATTTCTGTGTGTTTTCTTCTCCAAAGAATAGTAATGTTTTAAATGTCGAGAAAATTTTCTAAGTTTAAATTATATTGTCTTGATTTTTTTTTTTTATTAATACAGGAAAATGTAGAAGAGTTGATGGACTTTTTCCAAGCTAGTAAGAGGTCATCTCAGTAAAAGATTTGGCCACAGGGAATACCTGGTCCAGAACCTACAGTCATCAGAGACCCGTGTACAAGGCCTTCTAAATGCTGCCGCAAGGGTTTTGTTCATGTCATAGAATGAGGAGAACTTCTAGCTGTTTTTTTGTGCCACGCCTGCCCATCTTGTCTCCTCTGTGAGTGTGGGAGCTCTGGGGGTCGGGGCCGATGGCTGTTTTATCTAAGAAGTCCTTATCCCGCTGCTCAGCACTTGTGGGGACTCCACAGGTGTGGTGTGTGCAGGGGTGAAAGATGAATATCAAGTAAGTGAAATCCACCTTTCCTTTCCTGAGTCAGTAAAGTAGGCCTGCTAACCCTTTACCCTCTGGGTCCAGAATGCACTTTCCAAAGCCCTCATTTTTCATTTGTACATCATTTTCTTATCATTCTTTGTTACAGGTAGGAAGCTAAAGGTTGTTAATCCTATGCTGCTATTTCTGTGTGTTTTCTTCTCCAAAGAATAGTAATGTTTTAAATGTCGAGAAAATTTTCTAAGTTTAAATTATATTGTCTTGATTTTTTTTTTTTATTAATACAGGAAAATGTAGAAGAGTTGATGGACTTTTTCCAAGCTAGTAAGAGGTATCATCTCAGTAAAAGATTTGGCCACAGGGAATACCTGGTCCAGAACCTACAGTCATCAGAGACCCGTGTACAAGGCCTTCTAAATGCTGCCGCAGCTCAGTTGACCCTCCTCATCCAAAAACATGAGAGGTAAAACCTGACACCAAGGCCAGTCCTGGGGTCTAGTAGTTAAAGAAGATGAATTTTATGTGGACAGTTGTGCAGTTCAAATCCTCGACTTGGTGGCTTGAAACACACACCAGGTCTGTGTGGATATATGCCTCAAATCCTGACAGGGGAAGTGGAGAGGGGACTGCAGTATAGTATGACATCGCCCCACTGGGCAGTGGTTTTTCCTCTCCCTTCCTCTCTGTCTCTCTGTCCTTTTTGAATAGTGCATATGCCCTTAGGCAAATTTTTTAAAAAGACACCATCTCAACATGCAAATGTCCTACCCTCGAAACGTTCCTTGCCAAAGACTGTTCACTTCTGTTCATTTATAGTATACACTGGCTACTCACATTTTTTTCTTAAAAACGCTCTAGTGGTAAAAATCCCTCTCATTATCAGGTTGTAAAAGCATACATGATAGTGGAGACGCACATATAATGACCCCTCATGAGCCATCATTCAGCTTCAGTGGGTATTAACTCATGGCCAGTCTTTTCATTTATTTATTTAAGTTTATTTTTATTCTTCTATCTATAGTTGAGCATGCTAGTGCGTACGTGAGAGAAGTGCAAATAAGGAGAATACTCCCCACCTGAAGATGCTAATGATTTGCCACTGCAATTTACTTAACAGTCCTGATTAATTTTCACTCAACTGAAAGAAACAGTTCCTTGCCTTGAATTGAAGTACCTAAGAGCCGATTGTGCGGTCGTGAGTGGTGACCAGGAAAGGGTGTCTTGCTCCTTATTTTTAAATTGTATCCTGAAAGCCTAACACAGGCTTATTGTTTTTTTAAAGAGCTTTTCATCTTAGGATGTGTGCACTCACTAGAGAGAGACTTAAGACAGTGAGAAGAAAAGAAATCACTCCCTGGGGGAGTGGCCACTCCACAATCCCTTCTTCTCCATTCTTCTCCTGGGCTCTTGGGCATGCATACACATGCCCCATGTGAGTTTTAAGCCACTGAGTCTGGGACTCCAACTATGGTTAACCATGTGTGAGCCCAGAGACGTAACTTCCTCTGCCATCGGCTGGCCCCCAGGATGTTATTTATAATACATGCATCTCTTATTCATTTCTTCACACCTCACTCTTGCCAGAAGCCTCCATTGAGAGGCTACAATGGCCAACCCATCCCAGGGATACAGACAGACTGGAATGGTAGTGGTAATGATCATAGCAGAATATACTAGTAAAAGTTGTCCGGAGAAACAGAACCAATAGCACACATAGAAGGAAATTTAATACAGGAAAATGTAGAAGAGCTGATGGACTTTTTCCAAGCTAGTAAGAGGTACAGGCACTCCCTGGTGTGATTAGGGAGGCCATGAAGTCCCAGTGTCCTCTGTCTGCACGCTGGAGATCCAGGAAAGCTGATAGTGTGATGCGCTCCAAGTCTGCTTGCCTGGGAACCAGGGGAGCTGCGGGTGTGAACTGCAGTCCAAAAGCAGCAGATGATGAGAAGCCCCATCCCACCTTAAGCCACGAGGCAGAACGAAAGGGGCAAATCCTTCCTTCCTCTGCCTTTCTGTTCTATTCATATAGGTTGCTGTCCCCACATTGAGAAAGCCACCTGCTTTGCCTGCTTCATCAGTTCCAGTGTTGATCTCATCTGGAAACACCCTCACAGAGCACCCAGAAATCACATTTAATCTAAGCCATTCAAGTTCATATAAGAATTAACTATCAATAAGAGTTTTCTCTACACTCACCCCTTTGACTTTGTGCTATTCCTGATAGCAGGAGTTATCAATCCACCATCTCCTGTTGGAAAACTCTACCTGTACCACAGTGGTCTCTTTGAATGTTACTTTTTCCCTGAAGTCTTGCCATTTTCTTCTCTAACTAATTATTTCTGTCCTGGTGTTGAGCTGCCTCTGCCTGTCTCTGATGACGTTGCCTTACTCTGCTAGTATTTTAGCAATGCTTGAGCTGCTCATTCTTCTACTCCTCCTTTAGGGTAAATATTCTTCTGATTCAGACCAAACTAATATGGAGATAAATGCTCAGCCACAACAGCAGTCAAGCTAAAGGTGAGTTTGGAGAGGACATTAACTATCTCTACACCTTCCTTATCTAGAGCAGGGTACTTGGATGAAGATCAAATGCAGGTGCTATTGGAGCGGGCTCAGACAGAAGTCTTCTCTGTGAAACAGAAGTTGGACAATGACTTAAAGCAGGAGAAGAAAAAACTCCATCAGAAATTAATAATTAAGAGAAGACGAGAATTGCTGCAAAAGGTATAGAAGGCATTATGCTATTTATTCTTTGCATAACCATCCATTTTATTTTGTTTCAGTTTATGCATAACCATTTCTGAGCCTATCTAACACCCATCACCTTGCCAGCCATTGGCATCAGCAAACTTGTGTCAGAAGAACAACTGGACAGGCAGCATGTATGCCATCTAGGGTTGATTGGTAGTGACTTTATGGAATGCTCTGTCAAGAAAGATTCCATAAGACCCATCCAGCCTCCTCACAGCAGAGGATCATTGTGGATTAGTAATGTCTGCCTGGGCAAGAGAATAGAGCCAATTTGAGTGAATAATAATGACAATAGATGCTAACATTGAGTGTTTACTTAGTGCTATGCTAAGTGTGTTACATTAGATTTATATATCTTGTTTAAACACATTAACCCTATGAGGAAGACACTACCATTGTCTTTTTTTTTTTTTTTTTTTTAAATAAAGACACTGAGACTTAGCAAGCTCAAATAATGTGGTCAAAATCAAATATCCAGACTGGTCTGATTTGGAACCTAAGCCTTGTCCTTGATGTGAACCTGCTCAGCTATCTTTTTGCTTTGAGAGAGGAAAGGGTAAGACATAACACATAAACGTGTCATGGCATGCTCACCTGCAGTATGCAGCACACCATGGTGGCACAGAGGAGGAAATGATGCTTCCTGCTGGGGAATACCTCACAGAGCAGATGTGACGTAAACTGAGCGCTGGAACACAGTGTTCAGTGGCTATGTACAGGCCAGGAAGGATATTGCAGGCAGTGGGGAGGCATCTTGTTCAAAGCTGAAATACCAAGAAAATAGTTTCCTGCTGTGTTTGGGAACTCTGAGAACATGCTAAGGTTAGAGTGTTCAGAGAGACAAGGGCTAGGGCCGCAGGAGACCCACTGGGAAGCAGTGCTGAGTCAGTGGGCACAGTGTATCAGACTAAAGTTATTCCTCATCCAAGGACAGTGGGGAACATTGAGGTTTTCAGGAGAAAAATGTCTGGTCTGAGATTTAGGAGCTCATGTGAGCAGTCTGTTGAATAAATTGGAAGAGCCTGGGAATGTGAAACCCACAGGAACCTTGGCCAGATGAGAGCTGATGAGGACCTCCGCAGACGCAATGCCCAGAGCAGGGACGCAAGGTTGGTTCAGAGGATGTGTGGGACATGCAGGATTATACCTAGGTAGTTGGCTGATGCCATGCAACCCAGTTGAACAGGCTAGTTGTCTGGTACCATTTGGGAGAAAGGGGAGGGGATGCAGAATAACTTTTTAATTTTATCAGTAGAAACTCCTTTTTACAACCAGGTATAAAAAAAGAAAGCCATGATTTTTGAACGTTGAAGTCTACCCTATCCTTGAGTATCTCTTCCCATTTGTCTCTGAGCCACAGAATACAGAATCAAAACAATGAGGCCCAGGATCATATTTCCCTGAAGATCTGACCCAATCCAAGATTACTATCTAGAATGATAGGTTGCCTTCAGCTCTTACAAGAGATTGTGGAAGTCTTCCATGAATTTTATTAATTACAACTACTTTTGATAAATATTGCGAGTAGCCTAGAATCAGAATATTACCTCCACAAGGCAAAAAATTTATGTTGTTTTCCCTGCCGTACACATAGCAGGCACTCAGTAAATGTTTGGAAATGAATGGACACTTTCTTGTCACCAGGACCCATGAACACAAAATGGAACCCAGATTATCTGTGCACCTAATTTTATAAATAACATCATGATGGACATCTTTATTTTGTTTTTGTTTTGTTTTTCTATTACAGAGTCTTTATACCCAGTACTCTTTTTCTGAGGAATGTTCTCTCTCCATTTGTCAACCCAGTTAAGAGATGGTCTTATCCCTCAGGTGTTTCTTAGATCTTCCTTAAAAGGTCTTTGCTGGTCTTCTCATTTAAGTTGTCTCTCAATTATCTGTTGTGGTTTTTTTCCCCCTCATAAATTTTCCTTATAAATTGTACTGACACATAGTAAAAACGATAGCAGACATCTGTGGATGTAAACGTTATACTGAACATTTTTCTAAGGGCTGTAAATGTATTAAGCAACTCATTTAATTTTCACACTACCCTGCGAGGTAGGTCCTATTATTATCCCAATTTTACAGATTAAGAAATGGAGGTACAGAGAGGGTAAGAAACTAACTCATCTTGTGCATGAAGAGCCAGCGTTGGAACCAGGGTGGTCTGCTTCTTGGCTTCATCTCCTTAATAAATATATGTTCAATGAATGTTGAATGCATGAAGTTATCACTATATTTTGTTTTGTTTTGTTTTCCTATAGGGCATATGCACTTGCCAGAAAGACAGAGAGAGACAGAGAGACAGAAAGCGAGAAATCACCCCCCAGGGGGGATGGCCACACCGCAGTCCCTTCTCCTCCATTCTACTCTCGGGATCTTGGGCACACGCACACACATGCACCTGGCGTGAGTTTAAGCCACCAGGTCCAGGACATGAACCGCGGTCGACTACATGGGAGTCCAGCGACATAGCCATTACGCTAACTGCTGGTCCCAATATTTTGTTTTATTTTCTTAAGGATAATTCAAAAAGCATGAAATTGTTGCAGGAAAGACTGTGAGTCTTCTGTGCCTCCTACAACCAATTTCCTATGTGTTTTCCCAAAGGACTGTACCCACCAAGTTGCACCTCCATTTAATTTTCCTTTCTGAAATCCCTGCCAGCACAAGGAGCAGCGGAAGGAGCAGCTGTCCATTGGGGAGACCTTCCGAGCAACTGAAGATGTGACCGAGTACCTGCACCAGTGGAGGAGCATGATGGCTGAGCACAGCGCCACCCTGGAGGAACTGCAGGAGCGTCTGGACCAAGCTGCCCTGGACGATCTCCGGGCCCTGACCTTGTCTCTATCTGAGAAGGCCACTGATGAGTTGCGGCGCCTCCAGAACTCAGGGATGACCCAGGAGCTGCTCAAACGCAGTGTTCCCTGGCTGTTCCTGCAGCAGATCCTGGAGGAGCACAGCAAGGAGATGGCTGCACGGGCTGAGCAGCTGGAGGGCGAGGAGAGGGATAGGGACCAGGAGGGTGTCCAGAGCGTGAGGCAGAGACTGAAGGATGATGCACTAGAGACTTCAACAGAGGAGCAGGCGGAGCTGAGACGCTGGGAGCACTTAATCTTCATGTGAGTTCTGACCACCTATGAGCTCTGATCATCTTCCCTCTACCCCATGGTGAGGCAGATTCTCACCCTGTGGTTATGGGGATGCCTAGCACATGACACCTGACAAGATAGATGAGTTCTTCGTTGTCTTTTAGTCATATAAACACAGCCAAGAAGAGGGGGACCCTGCATGCCACACAGGGTCTCACAAGATAGAACAGAGTGAATCACCAGGGCTGTGGGAAGCAGGACTTATAGTAACAGGAGGATGAGGTGGCCCTGGCTCCCGTGAGATGATGTGATGACTTGTTTGAATAATTCTGTGAACTGGCAGGAACTGAAGCCCACTTCTCAAAGATGAGCAGGAACTGCTCTTGATCCCCTTGATAAGTGTTGTTTGGTGAGGACATATCTTCAGGAGGACAGCAGGGAGGGGAACTTGGGAACAGGCCCTTCTAGACCCTCCTGATTTCACCAGATGTCCAGGCAGCACTGCTCCGGGGCCTTGGTTTTAGGTATTACGCCACACTACAGTTCTCTTATCTGGCCCTTTCATTCATTGGTTCATTGATCAGGCTGTTTATTGTTATTATTAATTTAAGAACCATGTAATAACTTCTACTTCTGAGTAGGCTATAGACAACCACAACTGACCAGCATTGCTGCTGTAATAACTAGAAAATAATGGATAAAGTGTGCAGACAATGTTCTGTAGAGACACAGAGGAGCTGTGGAAGCAATGAGGACGAGGCAGAGTCAGATTCGGGTAGGCCAGTGTCTGGCAACCCTTTCCTTCCCTGTAACATCTTCCAGTTCCTCGTGGAGACTGGGATTGGCTTGGCCAAGAAGGGAGCCTGTTGTGCTATCACAGAGACCACTAAAGCTCTTGGCGGTTGTTTGAGGCTGGCATGTAAGATTGGAAACTGGAGAAGCCCCAAACATGGCCAGTGTGGAATAAGACTTGAGCAGTGTAGACCAAAAGGCTTGTGTTGAGATCCCAGCATTACCACCTACTATTCAAGTGTGGACATGTTACTTAACCTCTCTGGGCCTCATCTTTCTTGCCTGTAAAATGAGGACCACAATAATAAATCACTTAGGGTAATTTTAGCAGCTCATGATCCTATCAAGTGGTGTAGAACATGAAGAGGATGGGCTCTTCTCAGGCCCTTGATGGAGGTGGCGTGGTGGGACATCTTTCTGCAATGCTCATCCTCCCTTGGTGGACGTTACCTCCTAGAATCTTGCTGGCCTCAGTTCTCTTCTCTAGGGACAGACTTTGCTTCTAGGAGAATAGATCCCAGTTGTTTGCAGAGTCATTACCTTGGTTCGCATTAAGTGACCTCCAGCTCATTCCCATCTCTCTTATGTGATTGTGGCCTCATTTATTTTCCAATATTTGTTAGCATTTGTTTTCTTGACAAGGAAAATAAGTTGTCTTCTCCAAGCCCATAGAAATAAAATCTTTAAGTGCCATTCTTTTAAAATTATTTCATTTTGTTTACTTATTATTATTATTTTAATTTGCTATAGGGCATGTGTGCTCACCAGAAAGAGACAGAGAAAGAGAGGGAAAGTGAGAAAGCAAGCCACCAGGTCTGGGACTTGAACCACGGTTGACCATGGTTCAGTGCCTTAACCACCACGCCATTCCCTGGCCCTCTAAATGCCATTTCTTATTCACATGAATTATCTTCAGCAGTATTTATTTAGCTCGATCTACATTCCACCATATTATCTTTGTATGATCAAACTGACTTTTGACTCCTCATAGCTTATGAATTAGATTTGGCATTCTTGTTACCAAATGGTCATTTTCTTCAACCTCATTTGGGTCTATTTGGCAGGGTGTATTACTAAAGCTGCCACTCATTTTGCCATTCAACAGGAAACAAGACGTCTCACTTTGCTATGAGAAAACTCAGTATGAATTTTCTAAGGTTAGAGAGGGTCAGCTTACAATGCACACAATGTGAGTCTCCTTATGTATTCTACTTGTTTAAGATTCTAAAAGGTTGCAGCCTTTATTTCTGAGGCATTATATAAAAATGGCTTTGCACAATAGTTTTGAATTACTTTTTATAAGCTTGCTGATCTCTAGCAAGATTGGGTGACTGTCTCCATCAACCTGGTTGGCTAAAGTAGGAATGAGGAATAAGGAATATTTTGGCCTGGGAAAGTGTGCCTCTGAGACTTTTCCCGAGTTCCTCCTTTGATCTTAAACTCCTTCAGGGCAAAGGTCCTGCCTCCTGTGTTTCTGTTTTCTCTTGGTGCTTACATAGTAGGTAAAGAGAAGACCACAAGGGCAGATATGGTTTGGGGGTGGGCAAAAATAACAAATTAGATTCATTTCAGAGTTTCTTTCACTTTGGATCACATGTAACCTGTAACCAGCAACAATGGTGTAAAGGTTCTGCACAAAGGAAGGTATGAGAGAACAGCTGCAGTTTCCAGAGGTGCTTTCAAAATCAATGGGCCTTCCAGCCAGCAGGTGGCATGGTGCCTAGGGCGCTGGACTCCCACATGGGCAACCACAGTTCGAGTCCCAGACCTGTCAGCTTACTTTCTAACATTCTCTCTCTTTCTCGTCAAATTAAAAAAAATAATAATAATAACAAATAAAAGGATTAGATGAAATAATTCTTAATAAAAAACAAAATCACTGGGCTTCGTGATATGAGGAACCCAAGACAGGAGCATCATGCAATGTGGGGTGGGCCTGCAGAGTATTTTCAACAGAGGGCTTGCATCATTCCTGAAAGTCTCATTCAATTTCACAAGAGAGCTTTTCTTTCTGTTCTTTCTCTCTTTCTTTCATTCTGTGGTGTGTATGAGTGGTGTTTAAGACAGGACCTCATTGTGTCACTAGCCTTCTGCCTTAGCTTCCTGGGTAGCTGAGACCTCAGGTATATCCCACCACAACCAGTGTCTGGGCTGTGATGCCCACCCTGGCTGTGAACTCGTGACCCTCCTGCCTTAATCTCCCTGGTAGCTGAGACCACAGCTGCACCACCATGCTTAGCTTATTAGTGGATACTGGGAATCAAACCAGGGCTCTCCTATGGCCTCAGCCTGCTGAGTAGCAGCATCCAAATGTGCCACCATGGCTTGGCCTCCATGGAAATATCTTGGGAACGCTAACTGCTGGTTCCCAAGATATTTCCAAATTTTAAAGCATTCACAAATTTATTTTATGCAGCCAGTGTTGACTGAGCATTGGTAGAATAACCAACAAGTCTGTTTGTCTATAGAGAATATTTGTTGAATGCATAAATGAACAGACACATACTGCCCAAACCAAGAAAACAAAGGCCTCCAACTGAATTGGTCTCTCCTGGGTTAAGGAGGAAACTGTAGGGACCAGCAGTTGGCATAATGGCTGTGTGGCTGGACTCCCATGTAATCGACCGCGGTTCGAGTCCCGGAACCAGTGGCTTAAACTCACACCGGGAGCATGTGCATGCATGCCCAAGATCCCGAGAGAAGAATAGAGAAGAAGGGATTGAGGCGTGGCCATCCCCCCAGGGGGTGATTTCTCTCTTTCTGTTTCTCTGTCTTTCTGGTGAGCACATGTGCCCTATAGCAAAAACCTCTCCAAAAAAAGAAAAGAAAAGGAAATTGTATCCAGAAATTTCCGGCAGACTTTCCCGTCCATTTAATTGACAAGAACTTGCTGTCATGAGCCTGGGAAAGTGAGCGGGTGGACAGTCTCCTGTTAGAGTGTGCTGTGGGCCTTGCTGGAAAGGAAGGAGGAGGTTCTTGATTTGCTCATCTGTAGTTTGAGGACTGAATTGCCGTAAGGATTAGTGATGATGTAGGTAAATGTATTCATTTCCCAGGGCTCCATAACAACATGTAACCAACTTAAAACTAAAGAAATTGATTCTCTCACAGTTCTGGGTGCCAGTTCTTGATTTCTGAAGTCCCAGATCAAGGTGTTGCCAGAGCCTTGTTCCCTCTGAAGCCTTGAGGAGAATCCGTTCCTCCCCTTAATCTTAGCTTCTGATGTTGCTGCAAATGCTTGGCATTTGTCGGCTTGAAGATCTACCATTTACACCTCCATTGTCACATGGCCTTCTCCCTGTGTGTTTGTCTCTTTTCCTAGTCCTCCTATAAGGATACTGGTCATATTGGATTAGTTTAAGTGCCAACTCTACCCTAGTTTGACTTTTTCTTAACTTACTGCATAATTAACACCTGCAAAGACTTTATTTCCAAATAAAGTGACAGACATTCACAGGTATCAGGAGTTAGGACTTGAACAAATGTTTTGGGAGGGCATGGTTCAACCCATAACACTAAGTCACTAGGCGTGCTTTCCAAAATGGAACAGATTTTCACTAAATGATAACTGTCAGTCATCATTCTTTAAGACCAGTGCAAGGGACCTCCCCTTTTTCCTGCCCCTTCCCTTCCCGCAGCTAAGTTGAGCATTTATTTTTCTGCTACTGGACTCTACCACGGAATGCTGCCGACCAGCCTCTGTAGGCAGTGATGTATTTTCATGTCTGTTTCTGAAATGAGACCAGGCCGTCTATAAGGCCTTCTCCTGGAAGGACACCTTCGCAGGTTCATCTCATCCAGTGTAACTCTCAGCTCTGCTGTGATGCTTGTCCACCCACACCATGCAGTAACTGCTCCAGAAATACTTGGGGGAATGAATGTGCAGTTAAGGAGCTGATGCTTCTGTCTCTAAACATGGATTTAGCTGATGAATTTTCGGTATCTTCCCACCCCAGCCCTACCCCTACATTTCCTCTTGATAAGATCATATCACTGTCTCTGCAGGACGCTCTGCTCCTCCGTCTTCTGCATGTCTGAAGAGGAGCTGCTCAGGATGAGGCAGGAGGTTCATGGCTGCTTTGCTCAGATGGACAGGAGCTTGGCCTTCCCCAAAATCCGGTCCCGAGTCCTGCTGCAGCAATTTAGGACTGCTTGGCGAGAAACCGAGTTCCTGAAACTGGACCAGGCCCTGGCTGCCCCCGAGCTGCAGGTAGAGTGGACATGGCAGACTCTCTGTTTCAGAGGCGGGGCTGACTGCCAGCTGCTGACCCCATGGGTCCAGCCTATCCATCCACCCCGATGTACTCTCGTGCCATGCTCCTTTGTACTCTCCTCTCCTGCCACGTTGGCATCTGGCTATTTCTGGAACCGCTAAGCTTGTCCTGACCTTAAGGTCTATAGTTGACACTGCTGGTGCTCTGCCCAGATTCCCCTTACCAGACCAATGCATTGTCTACCAAGGAACATATCAGCCATGCCTGGCTCACAGCTACACTCTTCTCTCAACCGTTGTGCTTAGTGGATGGGAGCCACCTAGCCCAGGCATTAGTCTTCCTCCCTTAGCCATTGTCAGTGACATTCAGGGTACAAAGTCCTTCCTGAAAGTGGCACAGAGGAGGATTCTCAACTCAACTCAGGGGAGTCAGGAAAAGTGGGTCTCTTGCCCTGGGTGATGATCGACACTGTTTTTCAGTGAGCACCTATTAGGTGCCTCAAGGTAAGACAACACTTTGGTACCTGTTTGTTCCAGAGTCCCCCATGGGCCAGCCTGGGTTCAATTCACCTGAGCCCAAGCTTTGCTTGACCCTTCCTTTTCCTGTCCTTTTCCTTGTCCCTATTCTGGTTGCTCCTAAACAGCTCTCCCTTAGGAAACCATGTGATCCTCACACCCTTTCTCAGGGTCTACTTCTAGGAGCCTAAGACAAGGCCTTTAAACTTGCTATTTCCCCTGCCTAAGCCATGCCTCATAGCCTATTCATGCCTCTTAGCTCCTGTCTGAAATAACACCCTCCCCAGGCACTTACCACATGGCTGTGCTTTGTGTTTTCATGTAATTTATCATTATCGGAAATGTCCTGGGTTCTTGACTTGATTGTTGTCTAGGCTACCCCTTGCAAGCTCTACAACCCATTCAGTACTCCCTCCCCTCTGCCTAGGAGAGTGTCAGGCTCATAGTAGGTATACAGTAAACTTTGTATGCAGTAAACCACCAGATGCATGCAAAATGTTGGGGCTTCTCTTGAACTGATTATATGTTGATATTAAAAATGTTGAAATCACTGAAGTTTATACTATCTCACCTAAAATTCATAGCAGGGGCAGAAGATAGATGTCATGATCCCATTTCATAGATGAGAAAACTAAGCTACAGAGGAAAATTAATCGACCTACATAGGAAGTAGAGAATTGGGCTTGGAGTTGGTGTTTTCTGACTTGCAACCCACTCCTTTTCATTTAGAGGGAGAAAAAGTTCACACATAGCCTTTCTGAATGAAAAATAGTGCATGTAGAAGTGACTTAGCGACATAGCAGGTGGGCCTGGCTTGTGTCCTCTGGTGTTTCTAACTCCAAAGTTTTGGCCCTTCCCACTAGCTCCCTCTCCTCCCTCTAGGAGTCCACCAGAATTCATGCAGATCAAAGATCCTAAAGCTGAGCTCCTTCCAAGATAATATTTGGCTTTCCTGTCCTTTGGCCTAAGGCAGAGTTTTGCAGTTCTGTGAGTTCTGTCAATTTCTCCTGGCTTGTGGAGACCCGGGGGCAGCATGGACTTGCTGGTGACACCTTCTTGCCAATGTTTTTTTGTGACCCCTCTCTAGCAACAGTCCAAGGCGAGAAAGCCACGGTCCAAGAGTAAAAGCAAGATAGACCTTTTGAAGAAGTGCATCGAAGATAAAATCCACCTCTGTGAGGAGCAGGCCCCTGAAGACCTGGGTGAAAAGGTCAGTATGGGTGCTCCAGCTGTTTCTCTTCGCAGGTGGCAAGGCTGATGGCAGTCCGTCTGCAGACACACGGAGCCCTCAGGGGCCGGTATTGTTCAGCCCCACCCCAGTACCTAGCGTGTACTCCCACCCCTTTCCACCTGTGCCTTCTGCCTGGAACTACCTTCCCCTGCTTCTTGGCCTGGAGCTTTCCTGTTCTTCAGGCTCTATTCTGTCCTCGAGCGCTGGCTCCATGGGCTGTGGTGGCCATTGTCTTGTGCCTTCCTTTGTCCTGAGGCATTTGTACCTGTTTTATATCCATCTCCTGCTTTATCTTGCACCCTCTCCTCTGTTACAGATTCATGACCAAGAGGACCTATCCTCTTTTTTACCCACACTAGTCATTTTAATAGAAGGTACAAACTCATTATTATTATTTTTTTTATTTTTTTTTTGAGAGGAAGAGAATGAGAGACAGATAGGCGCTGCCAACAGTCTCTTCACTTTCACACCCAGTTTCATCTATGATGGATCACGAGCACACACAAGCATGCCCAGTGTGTTCTGGGAGGTCCTAGAACTTGAACCTAGGACCTTTCCCATTTAGGTCCAGTTGCATTATCACTGCACCACCACCTGACCCTTTGTTTGTTTGTTCATGTATTTGTTTGTTTCAGCTATTTACAGTTATTTCTCTTGGTGGCAAATATATTGATTTTTTTCCCTTTCTTTTTCCTTTTGTTCTCTTTGGAGTATTTATTTAATTTAGGAATTTCTGGTGCTTTGTCTCTCACTACTATTTTTTAATTTAGTTTCTTTCAATATTGTTTACTTTTTTTTTTTTTTTTGAGAGGTTTTTGCTATAGGGCATGTGCGCTCGCCAGACAGACAGAGAGATAGAAAGTGAGAAATCACCCCCCAGGGGGGATGGTCACGCCGCAATCCCTTCTCCTCCATTCTCCTCTTGGGATCTTGGGCATGCACGCACATGCGCCCAGCGTGAGTTTAAGCCACTGGGTCCGGGATGTGAACCGCGGTCGACTACATGGGAGTCCAGCGACATAGCCATTACGCTAACTGCTGGTCCCATCAATATTGTTTAGTTTTAATTTACAATGCTCTGAGTATTATTACTGAGAAAATCTTAGCCTTGTTTCATCTATCTCTTCTGGGAGTTTTTTCATGGCTTCTTTGGGATATTCTATGTGTATCATCATATCATCTGCAAATAGGGCAATTTAGCTTCTTCTTTTCCTATATGAATGTCTTTTATTTTGCTCTCCTGTCTGCTTGCATTGGCTAGAACTTTCGACACTATGTTGAAAAAAAGTGGAGAAAGTGGGCAGCCTTGTCTTGTTCCAGTTTTTAGTGGAAAAGCTTTCAGCTTTTCTGCATTCAGTATGATGTTAGCAATGGGTCTTTCATATTATGTTCAGGAATGTGTCTTCTACCCCTATTTTACTGAAAGTCTTGATCATGAAGGGGTGTTGTATTTTATCTAATGCTATTTCTGCATCTATAGATATGATCCTATGGTTTTTATCTTTCTTTTTGTGAATGTGGTATTTTGTGTGTGTTGAAGCAACTTTGCATCTTTGGGATAAAGCCTATCTGGTTGTGGTGTATAATCTTCTTAGTATGCTGTTGGATTCAGTTTACTAGAATCTTGTTTAGAATGTTTGAATCAGTCTTCACCAGGGATATTGGTCTGTAGTTTTATTTTTTTCATTATGTCCTCGTCTGGTTTAGTGACAAGGTAATGGAGGCTTCATAGAATGAGATTGGGAAGATTCCTTCCTTTTGAATCTTTGAAAATGGTTCGAGGAGAATTGGAGTTAGCTCTTCTTTAAAAGTTTTAGAATTCAGAATTGAAGCCATCTGGACCTGGATTTTTCTTTGTTAGGAAACTATTTATTACTGATTAAAGCTCATCACTTGTTATTGGTCTATTCAGCCTTTCTATTTCATTATGGTTCAGCCTCAGTAACTTGTAAGTGTCTAGAAATTTGTCCATCTCATCTAGGTTTTCTAGTTTGTTAGCATATAGTACCTGGTGGTATTCGCTCATAATATTCTGTGTTTCTTATATATCAGTTATAATATTACCACTTCATAACTGATTTTATCTCTATGGTTCCCTTCTCTGTTTTTCTTGATGAGTCTAGCTAATAGTTTGTCAATTTTGTTTAACCTTTTTAAAAAAAGGATACATTTTTTTGGTAATTTTCTGTTTAGTTCTTTTATTCTTTATTTCACTTATTTCAGATCTGATCTTTACTATTTTTTCTATTATTTTGGGGATTTTTGTGGTTGTTGTTGTTTCAATTCCTTGAGATACAATATGAAGTTATTTATTTGCCACCCTACTATTTTTTTTTTCTTGTGAGCACTAATAGCTATGCACTTCCCTCTTATGACTGTTTTTCACTGTGTTCCAGAGGTAATGTAGAGTGGTGTTTTCATTATTGTTGGGGTCAATGAATCTTTTGACTTCAATCTTAATTTCCTCAGTAGTGTGAAAGTCATTCAGGAGAAAGTTGTTTAGTTTCCATGTTTTTATGAATTTCTGAAGGCTCTTTCCATGGTTGATTTCAATTTTAATTCCATTGTGGCGAGAAAAGATGCTGGGTATAGTTTCTTGTACTTTTATATTTGCAGAGACTTGTTTTGTGGCCTAGTATATGGTCAGTCTTTGAAAATGTTCCATGTAGTTGAGAAAAAAGTATATTTGTAATTGCTAGGTGGAATGTTATATATATGTCTATCGTGTCCATTTGGTTTATAGTATCAGTTAACTGTTGTATCTCTTTGTGTATTTTTTTTGTCTAGATGACCTGTCTAATGGTGAAAGTGGGATGTTAAAATCCCCAGCAATTCCTGTGTTGCAGTCTATATCTCCCTTTAGGTCTAGCAGCCTTTCTTTTATATATCTGGGTGCCTTGGAATTGGGTGCAAAAATATTTATGATTGTTATATCTTTTTGTTCAATTAATTATTTTAGAACTATGTAGTGTCCTTTATCTCTTTTTAACCTTTTTATCTTAAAGTCTATTTTGTATGATATCAATAATATTACTGTCACCTTTCCTTCATTTCTGTTTGCATGAAACCACTTTCCAGCTCTCCACTTTCAGTCTATCTTTGTTAATTTGTTGTGTTTCTTATAAACAACATATAGATGATTCTTGTTTTTTTGTTTTTGTTTTTATTTTTAATCCATTGAGCCAATCTATGTCTTTTAGTTGGAGAATTTAATCTGTTAACATTTAATGTTATTATTGATATGTGTGGACTTAGCCCTGTCTTTTAGTTACTCTTTTTCTTTTTTTCCTAGTAGTTTTGCATTCTCTTGCGTTGATTTACATCCCTTTAGTTTTCTAGGTATAGTATTCCCTTAATATTTCCTGAAGAGCTAGCCTACTTTTGCTGAATTCTTTCAGCTTTTGTTTATCTGGGAATGATTTTATTTCTCCTTCCAATGTGAAGAATAATCTTGCGGAATGTAGTATTCTTGGCTGAAATTGTTTTTCTCTGAGAGTTTTAAATATGTCTACCCATCCTTTCCTTGCCTGCCTTGTTTCAGTTGAAAGGTCCAATAATAGTCTGATGGGGTAACCTTTTCAAGTAACTTGACATTTCTCTCTTGTCTTTTTTAGAATATTTTCTTTGTCTTTGATTTTTACCTTTTATGGCCATGATATGCCTTGAAGAAGATTTTTTTTTGGTAGTTTTTTTTTTTCTTATTGGGCATGTACGCTTGCCAGAAAGACAAAGAGAGACAGAGAGATAGAAAGCAAAAAATCACCCCCCAGAGGGGATGGCCACGCCACAATCCCTTCTCCTCCATGCTCCTCTCAGGATCTTGGGCACGCACACACACGTGCCCGGCATGAGTTTAAGCCACCAGGTCCGGGACTTGAACCGTAGTCGACTACGTGGGAGTCCAGCGACATAGCTGTTATGCTAACTGCTGGTCCCAGGATATTCTTTTTAAAATCTAGTTGGTGTTATTTGTATCTGGATTGGAATTTCTTTTTTTTTTTTCTTTTTTTAGAGGTTTTCTCTATAGGGCACGTGCGCTCACCAGACAGACTCAGAGAGACATAGAGACAGAAAGCGAGAAATCACCCCCCAGGGGGGATGGTCACGCCGCAATCCCTTCTCCTTTATTCTCCTCTCGGGAT